CTAACTCAGTGTCCAGTAGTATGTTTTGGACACCTAACTCACAATGTCTAGTAGCTGGTTGTAGAAACCTATAATAATAACTAGTTGTAGTTTACTTTGCTTATACATGTATATGTTATATTTATAATTTTATTGCATCATTGTGTGTCATATCAATCATGCATTGTCTATATTTGACATGGTGTCTGTACATTACATATCAGTTAATGAGACAATACAGATCGATTTAGGGTTTGAGATTTTGTGTGATGGTTTGTTCTCTTTTTGCACCACATGGCTGGTATCATGAACATACCATGCTGGAGACCACATGTATTGAGTGATTAACCACTATAAATCTCTGCTTCCCAGAACCTCAATATTGGGAAGACTTTCATTTTACAACAAGAAAATTAAATTGCAGAATAAATTTTTGATCCTGCTTGACCTTCTAAACACAAATTGATATTGCTCTGCAAAAATGCTATCGCAATTCATATTTCTATCATATCTGGTAATTCTTTATTGGCCACATAAACTGTGTTTATGATCTCCACGTGGACAACCATTACAAAAAATTAGAATCCCAGACCCTGGGATTCTTATGGACTTCAGTTCAATACCTACTGAAGGTTTAGATTAGCACATATCATGGTACTTGTACTAGATAAGGTATTCTGAGTATTGTGCACTAAGGTGATTAACTTTTGATAGACCCTGGATAGTATTTCCTCATTAACTATTTAGTAAATAATTGTGCTTGTTTTTAGGTTTGAAAAAAAAATAACACCATTAAAAGAAGTTTATGTTTGATACAAAAATATGTTTGTTATTGGAAAATTTCCAAAATTTGTTACAAGACATTTTGGATGCGTGAATATCCTAGCATCTACTTATGCATAGCAACTGAACAGCTACATCAGTTTGTTGTCGAAGCATTTTAATTTTCCAATCGTAAACTATTTATATTTTTTGAAACGAAATAAAAATTGACCCTCTCCTCGATGAAAATAACTCAGAACGTCTAGTCTCAGTACCTTACCAATCGCTTCTTTCATATATTTAGTGTTCAGTGATCATGATTGTCAACATATCATATGATTTTTGTGTTGTTCTAACATGATATTCTCTCTCCACAATCTTTCATCTTCTAGCCACTGGGGCATCAAGGAAATCAGCTAAAGCAGGACGAAAGCGTAAGTCTTATTGCATATGTCTAGTTGTTTCTAGCAAGCACCAAGCACTAAAAAAAAAAATTCTCTACATATGCAATCTGACCTACACAATGTATATATTCATATATTGTTTTTCATAATGATCATCCCGCAATGTGCTTACGTGATGTTATTTATAAGTGGTCTAGAGTTTCTGTTTGAACCATATATATACATTCTGTTGTTTGCTTTGTGTTTTCACACTTCATTCATTTCACGCTAAACTATGTTTCAACATTGCTCAGTTCCTAGCTAATTATTAATTTAAAGTTAATGATTATCTACTTTAGTCATGGTTGCTTGGTAACAGATCGTTACCAAGAAAATTGCTATTTTTATAATATATAACAGATGCACAAAATTTCCATATAAATTAGTTTGCTTATAGTAATTGATAAATTGCTGTGTACAGTTTTTTTCTGCCAAAAGTTTTGATATCTGGGCTATTTCCAAAAATTAACTATCAATAAGAAATGATGCACTGGTACAGCAATGTTCTGTACAATGTCACTGCAGTTGAAGTGCAAGTACTGCACTTTGTTTTGAACTGCATGTGCCATATTGAAAATATGTCGTTCTTTATTAGGTATATATGATGTAGTGCTGTTCTTTATAAAAATATACATAATAATTAAAAGATGGATAGTAATAACAGCTGAAAATTATTGACTTCTGATCCGCCTTGTATATTGATTGTTTTCGGTACTAGGAAATGTTCTAGCTTGGTGCAACTCGCATCATACTATACATGTTTCTATTTGCTCATTTATCGGCACTTCATCCTAATGCACCATTTCATGTTATCAGTATTTCAACAAGATGTATTATTGTAGTCGTTTGTTCAGGGTTTTATTGTTTTTTGTGATGTGTATGTAAGTGTGTATTAAAGGGTATCTAGAGCTAGTTAGTGTTTGCTGTCTGTTCTAACCATGACTCTGTAGCAAAGCATTAACAATACCCTTCAGTTTTTTTTTAATAAAAGAGTACAAAAGTGTTTATTTTTTCCTGTGAGGATGCAATGTGTATTAATCACAGATGTATACTTTTTAATGATGCAACTAACTTTTACATTTGTTTTTCTAACAAAAAAAAATACATTTAACGATTCACATCCTTGTTTATAATGAGCAGCAATAACAATATTAACGTGTTTGTCTGTTTGTATACAATGTAGCACGTATTTATTTGAATAACGTCTCACAAGGTATTACCAACATTCCGTTTTTCCCTATTTCACGTACCCCACCATTTTACAGCATTTTGCACGCTATGTTGTGCATGAATCCACACAATCACGAGTAAATCATTTAGTTACTGTCCTGAGGGGTCTGTAAATAATTGTATCCTCAGGCTGCACATTATTCTTCTATTCATTAGATTTTATCACAAAACTATTTTATTAATTAAATAAAAAAATATATATACTAAGGGTTCTTGTTTAAAAAGCACCTTTAAGTCATACTGTGTTTTACCTCACACTCACACTACTACAAATAGAAATGTCTGTTGCATCGTACATCTTTAGTTAGTTTAGTGGTACATTAAAGAGTCCCACCTAACTCACGTAATAAATTCTTACATGTATCATACCACATATTTAGGTTGTTTGGTTAGTAGTTAATGTACTGATCATTATTTGTTTTTAATGACTCACCTAAGGAGTTTAGTTAATAAAGATCTGCTTATATCTATCACACATTTATATCAATTAACTGTCATGAAAATTAATTTATTTTTGTCTTGGCATTTTACATGATGTTACAAACAACCCAAATTTTTTATTGGGAACTTGACTGTTTATCAGAATTAGGAGATTTAATAATCTCAATTTTCTCACTATCACTTAGTTGTTTGACACTTGTACACGCATGATGTTGTACATTTGTGTTGTCACTGTTTTTTTCTTTTTTTCTTGTCTAGCTGGCTTGTCTATTATCTCTTTTTAACCAGATCTTTATTTTTTTTATAGATCAAGGATTCTTTCTTTACCCAATCACTGACTCTAAATTCTTTATCTAAATATAATTTGCATAATGAATATAATTAGCATATATTATGTTAATTATATCAACTTTCAACATTACTCGTTTTTTTTTCTGCATGCTATGTTTCTTTTGCTCATAGAACCTTCAGAAATAAGCGATGAGATCAGTGAAGGTATTTTTTAGTACCGTTCTCGGGCTTACGTAATTAGAGAGTGTAAAAAAATAAAATAGACTAGTGAACCAGTTTTCTACAGTTTGAAATGTTTACAACACAACCATATATGTACATTAGTCCTGCAAGTTTGGTGTGCTCGCAGCTTGTGTTGCTTTTTTCTCTGGTTTAGTTTGCTTTTCTAAATTGAGTGGTAATGCATGGGAATTCATGACAATGTCATCTATTTATGGAACTTGTGACTTTAATGAAATCTCATTTTTTATAACAGGCGAATCTGTAGAAGCTGTGGCAGGTAACAGGTACGGATCAATATATAGTGGACTTACTAGAACATACTCAGACACTCTATGCATTTCCTGTATTCCTTCCAGTGGATACATATATCTAATAATTTTCATGTAAACCGAAAATTACATCTGTTTTGTACCAGATAACAAAAAACTGACTTATTTTGACAGTAGACACACCTTTTTTATTTACATAAGCTCTACTGATAAGGCAGTACATTATGACCAGTCATACATTTAAACAGTTCACCCTGATTACACATGAGTTGAAGAAGTGGGTATTACTGTAAAATACTTTATTTTAGCTGGAATTTATTTTCACTAATTTTTGATGAGTTGAATGTAAAATATAGGTAAAAATTCCTCCAGCGAAAATAGCGAAAATGAATTTTAAGTGAAAATAACGTATTTTACATATATATGAAAAAAATGACTTTTATCACACTTTACATTAATTTTTTTTGCGTATGTATAAAGGGCCGACACCATTACATTTAACTCATGACAACCAAAATTGCATTTCAAATTATTATTATATGTCTTATTTTGACCATAGACACACCCTTGTCATTTACATAAGCACATGCTCTACTAATAGAACAAGCATGGTATTTAGGTGAGCTGGCTCAAGCCATGTGGTAACAATTCAGTTGAAAAAACGTTTCACCATCACCCAGTGACTCACTGTGACACAGTTGTTGCACTGTGCAGGTAGAAACACAATGTCTTTGACAATTTAATTGAGCAAATCAAGTGAACATTTTGAATTGTGATTTTTGCAGAGAACCTACCGAGGAGGAGATAGCAGCTGCTATAGAAGTGCAGAAACATTGGAGAGGGTTTTATGTGAGAAAAATCAGACAAGCACGAGAACCGGGTACGAAATGTTATCATCTATACTGTGATATTTCTTTACTTGCACTACTTTTTGCATATCAATACACCCCAGTGATCAAGTGACATATAACACAATTACAAATGTATGTATTCTGATGCATGAAATAAAGTACCGGTAGTCCCAACAACATCACATCAGTAACTATATTCCACCTGGCATTACTCTGATCTTATAGTCTTCTTTCTCTACTCAGTCCCAGGTAGGAGCCTCATTGGATGAAATGCCTATCATAAACAGTTCCAGCATATCTATATAGTGTTTTGATAATCATAATTTTACAGATTCACTTGTTTTCTTCCTCAGGTTGCGAGGAGAATCTCCAAGCCAAGGAACACTTATTGAAATCTTGGGCATTGATGGAATCCACATGGGAACAGCATGCACTTACTCTATTCAGGTTTGTCATGCAATTATAATTAGATATTATATATTATTCAACTTTCATACATCTAAATCTTTTCGTTATTCTTTTTGGTCAACGTTTTCAAATCTTTATCATTTTGATTTATTATTTATTATAAGTTCAACTTTAAAACTTTTTAGAAATTTCAGAAAAGCTGATCAAGAGAAATATTTTTCTCCCTTTTCTATTGATTAGCATTCTGATTTACATTTTTAAATATCTACATGTATTTCAGTTGAAAAGCAACAGATTTTCACAATATCTTGTATGATGATATTATAATGATAATATCTGATAATACTCTTGTATGATGATAATGTTTTTTTATTTCTTGATTTGTTTTCAGAACAATATTTAAAATTGATCCAGAATTGATGCCTAAATTTCCTTTTTATCAAGATGAGTGGAATAAGATATCATATTCTGACTACCAAGGCAACTACCCAGATCAACCACCTAATACTTGGTTTGTTGTCTTCAGGTGAGAGGAGGTTTTAGTAATTCTGTCAAATTGGTTTCTCTTATTGTCATTGTTGTCATCAACATCATAACAGTAAAATTACTTAATGCAATACAACTAATCTATAATGTTATTTTGTTAAATTTATGTAATTATTTAACTCAAATAAAATTTAATTATGACGAGAAACACACTAACATATTGTTTTCAGCAAAAACAATATTGAGCAATGTAGAAATGTCTCGAAAATGTCCAAGAAAAACTAACCAATATTCATTCACTTGGATTGAAAGAACATTCCCAGTTTTCGGCTTGATTATACATTATATGTCATGAATACTATATAATTACTACCAATTTGTTTTCTCTCATGGAAAGAATATATCAATATCTCATTTTGATTGTGACTCAATAGTGAAAATGTCTAGAATATGTTGAACCAATATAATGATGATGACGCAATATGTGATAACCACGAAGATTACCACATGTTTTTGAAAGAAAAATTAATAAATTCTGTATTGGTGACTGTTTTATCAATTTAAGAATATTGTGCTGTATTTTGAAAATAGATTAACATGAAAGATTGTTTTTTATCATGGATAATGTCTTAAAAAATACAGTTGTTACATTTTAATGTGCAACAGAATAATATTTATGATTAAAATTCCAATGGAAAGCTATACATTAATTTGAATTACTCATTATCATGAAATATGAGTAGTCTTTAAAAGTTGCATTCTCTTTACTTATTGCATGTAAAACACCTTCCACTGATTTCCACTGATTACTATGATCACCATGAGAAAGGATAATTTTATGGTTTGGCAACAAATATTGGACACTGAAGTTACTTTGGCACTTTACAGAAATAAAGTCATGGTATCAAATCAAACATAATTTTATTGTTGTAATCAGTCAATGCCATTTGCATGTATTTTTGAAGAAGAAGTTTATAAATTAGATTTCAGGAATCTGTTGGATAGGATTTCTCAGGAACTTTAGAACAATCAAAGCCCTTAGTGATGCTTATACTGGGTAGATATCAGTGGGAAGTTATCACAGATCATGCCAAGTGGGAATGCAATTTTAAGCAGTATTTTGTATTTTCATTGTGGATGATTTTAAGGTGTTGAAGTTATTCCATGTAAACCATACTATGCCATCAGTTTGGTATTCCTCTTGTGAATAGTATAGTCCATTCAGACGTGCACCACTGCAGTCTTTAAACCACCATCCACTATGGTATTGACTGGCACAGTTACCACTAACCCAATTGTCATTGTCGCTGTCATAAGTGGAGAATGGCTGGCCATCTAAAATGTTGGTTTTCATTGCATCACCAGCTGTGCCTGAATATAGTCCGAAATGTAATATGTAGTTATTGCTGTCAACTTCCACCAAGACAAAATCATACTCGGAATATGCAGTGTCTCCATCAAACTTTTCCATATCTATTCTCAACTTGTATGACGACTGGTTAGTCAAGCAATAAATGTTGTCATTGCCTATCCAGTATTCACCGTCGATGTTTCCAAACCCGATTTTATAATCATT